ATGAAGATATTTTATGCTTTCTTTTAAAAGTTTTATTGTTTAAAAAAAAAAGTTTTACTGTTTTAGTTTCTATGTTCAAGTCTCTGATCCATTTTAATTTTTCATGTCATGTGAAGTAGGGATTGTGGTAGACAGAATGCTAAGATGGCTCCCCAGACTCTTGCCCATTGGTGTATATGTCCTGCATATGTCCCAATGTGAGCATAACCTGTAAATATGATGGGATAGTAGTCACTCTTGTGTTTATCTTTCAGTTACATAAGATCTGGTAGTAGACTGGAGAGAAATTCTCCTGAAAACTTTGAAGGAAGTAAGCTACCATGTGATGAGAGGCCCATGAGACCAGGAACTGAGTATGGCTCCCAGCCCCCAGTCAGCAAGCAAGAAAATGGGGATCCGGCCCTACAACCTCCTGAACTCTGCCAACAATCTGTGAAGAGAACTCCAAGTCTCACATAGGATCACAACCCTGTTCACACCTGGTGTTTTCAGAGCACACTTTATTTCAGCTAACCTGTGCCCACACTTGTAATCCATGAAAACTGTGAGATAATAAATTGTTGATTTAAGTTCCTAAATTTGCAGCAAATTATTATTTCTGAATTTTGTTTCTTAGATCTATTTTTTGACTCTTTTGCAAGTACTACATCATCTTTATTACTGGAGTTTTATAATGTCTTAAAGTGAGTATTCCAAGTCTTCCAACTTTGTTCTTTTTCAAAATTGCTTTGGATTTTCTAGGTTCTGTGTATTTCCATAGACATTTTGGAACGAGTCTATTAATTTCTATAGAAAAAATTCTCCTGGGATTTTGAATTGTATTGAATCCATTGATGAATCTGGGTAGGACTGATATCTAACAATACTGAGGCTTCCATGAACATAGCATGGCCTTCCTGTTAGATAGTTCTTAAGCTTTTCTTTGCAGTTTTGCAGTTTTCAATATAGAGGACTTGCAAATTTTTTTGTTAAATTTATTTCTATCTTATGCTTTTGATGCTATTGTTTTAAAATTTCATTTTCTGGAGATGCTTGGGTGGCTCAGTTGGTTAAGCATCTGATTCTTGATTTTGGCTCAGGTCACGATCTCATGGTTTCATGAGTTCAAGCCCTGCGTCGGGCACTGCACTGCACTAGGTCTCTCTTGGATCTAGCACCATCTTCTTAGAAACCTCTGTGCCATGAAAGCCAAGTTAGGAAGAAGCAAATGCAAAGGCTATAGACTAAAGTGTAAAAGAAAGATGAGGCAGAAGTTCAAGTAAACCACTAGAGCTTGTGCACCCACAGAAGCTACAGGAGAAGAAAGTCAGAGGCCAGGGATACTGGTACAATTTTTTGGACTGCATGCCTACGTTCTAGAGCTTCATTCAAGGGATCTAGAACAACCATCGTCATCTGATCATATCGACCACCTTTGAGAGGCCTACCTTGCTCATATAAAAACAGTCCCTTTTGGTCCTTTGCCCTGGACTGATATACTTAATGCCAAAATATCTCAGGACTAATTCTGTTTTCATTTGTGGCTGAATGTAACACACATATACTGTCTTAACTGAGGGAAAGAAATTTAAAAAATAAAATTTCATTTCCTGATTATTTGCTGCCAGCACATAACAAATCAAACTGAGTTTTGTGCATTAACCTAATATCCTGTAACCTTGCTAAATCCACTTATTAGTCCTAGTAGTTGTTTTGCAAATTCCTTAGGATTTTCTATGTAAACAATCATGTCAACTGTAAACTAAGACAGTTTGACAACTTCTTTTCCAGACTTCATTCATTTTATTTCTATTTCTTGTCATAATTCAATGGGTAGGATGGACCTCCAGTGTGATGCTGAATACAAAGAGAGTGATCACTCCTGCCTTATACCCAATCTCAAGGGGAAAGCATTCACTATTTTGGCACTAAGGATGATGTCAGCTGTAGTTTTCAACAGATGTCATTTATTAGACTAAGGAGATTACCTTCTAGTCCTTGTTTGCTGAAAATTTTGATCAGGAAAAGGGTGTTGAGGTTTTTCAAATGTCTTTTCTGTATTGACTGAAATAATCATAGTTTTTCTATTATGTTAATGTTCTGAGTTACACTGATTGATTCTCCAATCTTAATACAGGCTTGTATTCCTGGAACAAACTGTACTTAGTCATGGTGTATTAACCTTTTGATACACGGCTAGATTTGATTCGCTAATATTTTAAGGAATTCTCATTTTCTAAAGGATTTCTCATCTTACTATGTTCATGAGGGATATTAATCTATAATTTTCTTTGCAATGTCTCTGTCCAGTTTTGATATTACTATATACTTGTCTAAGAGTTGCAAAGTGTTCTCTCCTTTTTCCTTAAGAGCTTGAAAAAGTCCCAGTAAAACCTCTGGCCCTGAACTTTTTTTGCATGACAGATTTTTGATAATAAATTTAATAGAAACTGTGTTAGTTTCAGTAAGTTGTATTTTTCAAAGAGTTTGTCCATTTCATCTAAGTTGATAAATTTCTTGGCCTAAAGCTATTCATAATATTCTATTATCCTTTTAATATCTGTAGGATCTGAAGTGGTGATCCCTTTTTCATGCTTGATATTGGTAATCTGGTTCTGTTCGTTTCTTGATCAGTCAAGAAGTCGATTTTGTTGATCTTTTCCAGGAACTAAATTTTGGCTTTGTTAATTTTGTTTTTTATTCCACTGATTTCCGCTCTTATTTTTAATATTTTCTGGGGCGCCTGGGTGGCGCAGTCGGTTAAGCGTCCAACTTCAGCCAGGTCACGATCTTGCGGCCCGCAAGTTCGAGCCCCGCGTCGGGCTCTGGGCTGATGGCTCGGAGCCTGGAGCCTGTTTCCGATTCTGTGTCTCCCTCTCTCTCTGCCCCTCCCCCATTCATGCTCTGTCTCTCTCTGTCCCAAAAATAAATAAACGTTGAAAAAAAAAATTTTTTTTTCTTTCTTTTAACTTAAAAAATATTTTTTAATGTTTATTTTTGAGAGAGAGAGAGAGAGAGAGAGAGAGAGAGACGGCGCACAAGCAGGGGAGGGGCAGAGACAGAGAGGGAGACACAGAATCTGAAGGAGGCTCCAGGCTCCTCAGCACAGGGCCCAACACTGTGCTCAAACTCATAAACCATGAGATCATGACCTGAGCTGAAGTTAGATGCTTAACTGAGACACCTAGGCGCCCCTACTTTGCTCTTTTTTCTAGCTTAAAAAAATTTTTTTTAAAGATTTTTAAGTAATCTCTATACCCAACACGGGGCTCGAACTTACAACCCCGAGATCAAGAGCTGCGTGCTCTGAGCCAGCCAGCCAGGTGCCCCCTTTTCTAGCTTTTTTAATTGAAAGCTTAAATCCCTGAATATAGATATTTTTCTTTTCTAATATCAGCATTGAGAGCTATAAATTTCTTTCTGCACTGCACTCCAGAAGTTTGATATACTGTATTTTCACTGTACTTCAGTTTAAAGCACTTAAAATTTTTTCTTGTGATTTCTTCGTTGAGCTATGGATTATGTAAATGTGTCTTGCTTAATTTCTCAATGCTTAGGAATTTTCTTAGGTATCTTATTTTCATTTAAGATTTAATTTCATTATGGTCTTAGAATATATTTTGTATGCTTTTCATCTTTTAAGTTCACTGGGTTTTTTTATGGCCTAGCATATTGTCTACATTGGTAAATTTATTTCTTGTCCACTTGCAAAAGACTGTGTATCCTGCCATTGCAGGGTACGGCGTTCTATAAATATCATCTAGGTCAAAGTGGTTGACTGCAGCACTCAGGTCTGTGTGTGTGCGCATAGGTGTGTGCAGGTTGGTCTATCAATTGCTGAGAAAGAGGTATTAAATCTTCCAGGGGTGCCTGGGCGGCTCAGTCAGGTAAGCATCTGATTCTTGATTCTGGCTCAGGCCATGATCTCACGGTTCATGAGACTAAGTCTCACACTAGGCTCCATGATGACAGCAGTGCCTGCCTGAGATTCTCTCTCCCTCTCTCTCTGCCCCTCCACTGCTCACACGTGTGAGCTCTCAAAATAAACTTAAAAAAAAAAAAAAAAAAACACTCCAATTATGATTACAGAATTGCCTATTTCTCTTAAGTCTGAAATTTTTGCTTTAAGTATTTTGAAGCTGTTATTAGTACATACACATTTATGGCTGAAGATTTCTTGATACCTTTTATCATGACAACATGTCACTTTTCATTTCTGGTAATACCCTTTGTTGTCTTATGCTTAAATTTTGCATGGTATTCATTTATATATTTTTTGGTATATACGTTTCCATCTGTTTACTTTTTACCTACCTGTGTCTTTAATGTGCAGCTTTCATAGCACATAGATGGTCTAGCAGTTTTATTGAGTCTGCCATTCTACTGATCGTAGTGTGTAGTCCACTAAACATATTGATATGGTTGCATTAAGTCTCCCATTTTATCACCATTTCCTCTTTTTTCTTTTTTTGCCTTCTCTTTGATTATTTGAAGATTTGATCTATTGGCTTTTCAGCTATGCCTTTGTATTATCATCTTAGTGGTTGTTTCCGAGTATATAATACACAACTTTGACTTTTCAGTCTACTTAAAATTAATACTTACACTTCAAAAAGATGTAGAAATTCTTGCTATAGAAGTTCATATATTCTTTTGTTCTAAATTGTTATATGAATAACATTACAATCTCCACACACATTATAATTTCTGCTTTGAAGAGTCCTATATACTTAAAATTTTTTTTAAATGTTATTTATTTTTGAAGGAGAGAGACAGAGCATGAGAGGGGGAGAGGAGCAGAGAGGGAGGGAGACACAGAATTCAAAGCAGGCTCAAGGCTCTAAGCTGTCAGCACAGAGCCCGACACGGGGCTCGAACTCACAAACTGTGAGATCATGACCTGAGCTGAAGTCGGACGCCTGACTGAGCCACCCAGGCACCCCAAGTCCTATATATTTTAAATTAGAGGAAAAACTTTTTTTTTTTAAGTAAGCTCTACGCCCAATGTGGGGCTTGAACTCACGACCCTAAGATCAAGAGTTGCATGCTCTATTGACTGAGCCAGCCAGGCACCCCGAAAAATTAAGCCTTTAGTATTTTTTCAGGTATTTAGCATTTCTAATGCTCTTTATTCCTTCCTGGAGGTCTGAGTTTCTATCTGGTTGGTATCAACTCTAATCTGAAGGATTTCCTTTAGTGTTTCTTATAGTGCAGATCTTCTAGTGACAAACTCTTAGTTTTCTTTTATCTAATAATTTAGTCTTTATTTTGCCTTCATTCTTGCAGAGTATTTTTGCTGAATAGAGAAATCTGGGTCGGCGTTTTTTTCCCTGTTTGACACTTTGGAAGATGTTATTTCAGTCTTCTAGCATTTGTGGTTTCTGGTAAGAAGCTAGCTCTAATTATAATTGCCATTCCCTTTTATATGTCATTCATTGCTCTATAGTTACTTTTAAGATATTCTCATCTTTGGCTTTAGTAATTTGACTATAATACTGTAAAAGAAAGGGTTAACTAAGTAGGCCTCAAATGCTCAAACCCTGTACATGCCAAAGAAAGGTCAGTCTTCAGGACTGGTCCTTGGCTGGCTCCTAGGAGATGAACTCTGAGCCCTTGGACTACTCTGGCTGGTGTTTTTTTGCATGCCTGAGCACTTGAGCCATGCTGTACTAGTGTGACCAGGTGAGTTTATTCTAACAATATGATGTATGGCAAACATCTGGTTTTACTCTGGGGGTCTGAGTAGCTAGGGTCAGCCATGTGGGCACTGCATGGCATTCTGGACACCAAGCACTGAGTATAGCTTCCCTTATTGGCAACACTGCACATGCTGTCATATCACTGATGGGAAGATTAAGGGCATCCCTGTGTGACTCCTCTGGCCACCAGAAAGCTTGCACCTGCTTTCTCCTGGACTTCATCCCATGTGCCTTTCTCCTTTGCCAATTCTAATCTATGTCCTTTTGCTGCAATGAACTCTTAACTGTAAGTATAACAGCTTCTCAATCCTGAGTCCTTCGAGCAAATCATTGAGCCTGAAGGTGGTCATGGGAACCCCTGACACATGTACAAAGGTATGGTTCTTTTCTTATCTTAATGTTTCCGCTAAAGCTTCTTTAATCAGTAAATGTGTGTGTGTGTGTTTAATGAGGCATTCTTTTGCTATTTTGTCTTCATATATATTCTCACTTCTGTCTCTCATTGTCCTTTCCTTCTGAAACTTCCAATTATATGAGTTGGATCTTATAATAATTTCCCAAAGGTATCCGAAGCTCAGTAATATATTTTTCTTTCTGTTCTTCAGGTTGGATAACTTTCTGTTCATCTGTTACCAACTTCACTGACTCTTTCCCTTTGTGATCTCCATTTTGCTGTTAAGGCTACTCAGTGAATTTTGATTTCAGCAGCTGTATTTTACAGTTCTAAAACCTCCACTTGGCTCTTGTATTTTTCTCTATTTCATAGTAAGAGCTGCCTTAAAACTCTTGTTTCCAAATTCCAACAAATGAAGTTAGTTGTTGTTCACTGTCCTTTTCTTCAGACCGGGTCATATATTCTCAGCTTTTAAAATGCGTAGTTTTGCATTATATGTTGGACACTGTGAATATTACGTTGTACAGCCTCTGGACTCCGTTATATTCCTCTGGAGAGTGCTGATACTTGTTTCAGTATGCACCTAATTTGGTGCATCAAACTGCAAACTCTTGCCTCTTGGGCACCATCTCCAATCTTAGTTCACTTCTTTTTTCTAGAGCTGAGCTGCCTGTAGTCTTCCAAGCATGTGTGTAGTTCAAGGATTAAATGGAGGTGTATACAGAGAGTATGTACACAGAAGTTTAGGCTCTCACTCTCTGGATCTTTCCTCTCCAGGATTCTTCCTTCTCTTACTTTTCAGTGGTTGAATGGCTGTGGCTGACCCAAATTCTGTCCTCTCGTAAGTTTTCTATGAAAGCTTTATTAGCCAATCTGCTGGGTGTCAACTTCAGCCTGTCATCTGGCTAAGAGCAGTAAACATGGAGAACAGATTCCATGTTTTCTCTTCTTGGAAGTGTCAGTCCCTTTTCAGAATCTGCTTGCTTTTGTTCATTTTCCAGGGCCTTCTGATCTTTTTTTTCCTTCCAATTTTGTCCAGAATATATAGTTATATGCAGAAAGATCAGTTCCAGTAAAAGCCTACTTGGCCATACTGCAAGAAAAACCATCGTGATGTTATTTTTTAAAAATTTACTTCAGTTTCACATGTGTGGGTATACAGATTTTTAAAAATCTTTTTAAAGTTTTGTTTATTTAAGTAATTTCTACACCCAACATGGGGCTTGAACTCATTATCCTCATGAGATCAAGACTTGCATCCTCTTCTGAGCCAGCCAGGCACCCAATATAGATTCACTTTTAATCATTATTCTGAATATCTTGTTTTCTAACTTGTGCTTTTCTACTGTAATCATTCCATCATATAACAAAAACTCTACAAAGGTATTCAATAATACAATTTTTATTAATAAATTATGAACATTTGAGGCACCTGGCTGGCTCAGTCAGTAGAGCACACAACTCTTGGTCTCAGGGTTAAGTTCAAGCCCCACAATGGGTGTAGAGATCATGTAAAAAAATAAATAAAATCTTTAAAAGTAAATTATGAACATTTTCACATACCAGCAGAAACTCCAGCTCTGATGGCAAACTGACAAGAACTAGAAAAATAATGCACATACCTAGAAGTTAAATTGATGAGCAGCAGCAGTCTGACCCTAGAGAAATACTTGTATATGTGTAAAACCAGACAAGTACAAAGATGTTAACTTCAGCACTGTCTTTAAGAGTAAAAAATGTAAAATAGCCCAAATACTAATCAAAAGGGAAATAACATAGATAAAAAGGATTACTACACAGCTGTCAAAATGAATAAATTATTCATTTCCTTGAAATTATATATATTTCAGTATGGAAGGAGTTAAAAAACCCTAATGTCAAATGAAACAAGTTGGATATCAAAGATGGTAATATTAATAAAAGTTTAAAAACACAAACCAATACTACATACACATACATTTAAAGTAAACTGAAAGCATTTATCAGGTCCATGATGGTGGTTGCCTCCAGAGAAGGGAAGAAGGGAGTAAGTGGGACAGGTGGTAATCGAAGGGTTCCTTGGTTTGGAGGCAATCATGACCATTAACAGTAATGTTAATTAATAGAAGTTAATTCTACATATAGAAATGTGAGTGTATGTCTTTTTGTACTTTCCTATATTTTTCCATTTCTTAAAAAAAACCTGCAACAACTTCAGTGGCTGCATACTTGACTGCACAGATAGGTCTTAACATATTCTACCAATCTCTAATTGTTAAGACACTGAGATACCTGTCAATATTCTGAACAGCACTACAAAAAACATCTTTGTTTTTGCACGTACAATTTCTTCCCCTTAGAATAAGTTCCTAGAAACATAATTGCTAGCTCAATTCTAGGTCTTTGTTACATATTGCCAAAATGTCTTCCAAAAAAGTTGTCACAACTTACACACACCTGTCACCAAAATATATACCTGCCTATTTCCTTGCATTCTTGCCAATCTGGATACTAAAATCCAAAAAACGGTCTTCACTCAATTAGGTGTATGAGCAGAGATTTAAATTTTCCCCAATTAGTTATATCATAGCTCATATCACAGTTGTTAAACTATAATGTTATCATAAAGGGAATGAAATTAGGCTTCATTAGGAGTTTATACACAATGTATCATAAAACAGCAAAAGAAAAATAAAATACCGTTAATACTTTTCTTTTGCCTATTTCCCCCCACAGTTTCAGGCAGAACATAATTACAGAATTGGTTTATCTTTTTAAATTTTTTTATTTTAGAGAGAGAGAGAGAGCATGAGAAGGGAAGAGGGGCAGAGAGAGAGAGAGAGAGAGAGAGAGAGAGAGAGAATCATAAGCAGGCTCCACAATGAGACCAACGTGGGGCTTGATCCCATGACCCTGGGATCATGACTGGAGCTGAAATCAAGAGTTGGACATTCAAGTGACTGAGCCACCCAGGTGTCCCGAACTGGTTTAACTTTAAAAGGAAGGCTATTCAGATGTACTACTTAGAACTAGAGACTGATGTATTTTGCTGAAGTAGTTACATTTTAAAGATTTATTCATAAAGTAAGACAATTTAAAAAGATTTTCTGGGAGCGTCTGAGTGGCTCAGTTGGTTGAGCATCTGACTCTTCATTTCAGCTCAGGTTATGATCCCAGGGTCGTGGGATTGAGCCCCACTGCTCTGCACCACAGAACCTGCTTCAGAGTCTCTTTCTCCCTCTCTCCCTCTCTCCCCTCCCCTGTTCTTTCTTTCTCAAAATAAATTAACTTAAAAAAAAAAAAGAAAAGAAAAAAATAAATAAAAAGGTTTTTTGTTTTGAAGCCTGCAAAGGAAGACTTTTTAGCGTCTTGATCTAATTATATTGGTTTTTAATTAGCATCTAAATATATCTACTAATCACAGAATTTAGCCAGTGACAAATATCCTAAACTTCCACGGCCCTTTTCACCTCTCACAATAGATTAAATAACTCAGTTAAGAATTAGTAATAATTAGTATTTACACAGTTTGTTATTTACTACAACACTATAAAGGATGGCAAAATAATTATAGCCATATTAACAAAGGAAGATGTTGAACCAGTTAGATGAGCTAAGGTCATGCTAAAGCAGGAATGTGCCAAAATTAGACACCACAATTCTTGCAGCCTAATTCCCATATGCCTCATCACACAAAAGAACGTATAAGAATTACAACAACAACTCATGAGGAAATCTAGAGTCAGAGAATATGATTTTTATATTTTAGAGAAACAGAATCTTAAGCAGGCTCTGCACCGAGTGCAGGGCTCAATCCCACGACCCTGGGATCACGACCCGAGCTGAAATCAAGAGTCAGATGCTCAACTGATGGAGACACCCAGGAGCCCCTACAGTCAGAGAGTATTATTAAAATGATACTGAAGATAATCTTCAACATTCTCGCATTATAGATAAGAAAACTAAGGCCCCAAAAGGTGATATAACTTCATTGCTCAAAGCCACACTTCTAGATGCTGTAAAGCAACAATGAGAATTCACTCCTTAATCCAAGCTCAGCAATCTTCAATCACTAGAGGATAACAGCTATCCTTAGCAGTCACTTCAAATTTTTTAGTTTGTGAAACAGTCTCAATGTTTTCACTGATACTGATCAATTCACTCACTAACAATTACCCGATACCTACCACATGCTAGGTCCTGTACTATGCGGTATTTATTATATGCTAAGCACTGCATTACCTGCATTTCCACATTTAATCCCTACAATATTAATATAAGGTAAGCACAATTATCTCTATATTAAAGATTAAAATTTAGAAAGACTAAGTAAACCACCTGTGGTCTTCAGAAAGGAAATATAAAGGAAATGGTGCCCTTCCACTTCAGCAGCCACTGAAGAGCAGCAACCACGTCTCTGCAGACCCCATGGTCATGGGTCTCAACAAGGGCCCCAAGGTGACCAAGAACTTGAGCAAGCCAAAGCACTGCTGGCATGAGCACCACACCAAGCACATCACATCAGTGCAAGACAAGATCTGAGAGGTGTGTTTCACTCCTCACGAGAGGCACCCCAGCAAGAGGAGCTGAGCAGGTTCTGTCTGCCACCAGGATAGGAAAGTGGCTGCTAAGGGCTGGGCTTCCTGTCCATTCTTGCATAACAAAACCTTTACAGAAGAAGAAGAGGATAAAAGAAAATAGTATAATCACATTTATAAGTTTATCCTAACAAAAAAATCTTTTTATTTTAAATATTGTAACTCTATGTATGATTTCATTTGAAAAAAGGGATCTACTGTCAAAGAAGTTTGGACAACCACAGATCCCTATATAGCACCTATGAGTGACCATATAGTAAGTATAGAGCTTAGATCAGAAGTTGGGGGTACCTTTTGGAAGGCTTGGAATATCCTTTTTTTCTTACATCTTCTAAGACCCCGGAACAGATAGCATTTGAAGTAACTTAACTGAAGGCGGAGTGTGAGAAAAGTAATCAAATAAACAGAGACAATGGGAAGGGCTTCTAGTACCACATAATAAATGTTGGCCTGAACAATATTAAATAAGGTCCAAAGTAGAAGAATGCATGACTTCTCTTGAGCAATACTCACAAAACAGTACTACAATATAATACTGGTTACCTACTTTCAGAACATAAAATCTCTGTAGTATAAGATCAAATTAATTAAAAGTTTCATTTGCTGTCATTCCCAGCAGGAATTCCTTTATCTTTGATTGCTAAATAGGTTTCACAAGGCCCACAGCAAAAAACCCAAGTGCTAAGCAGTGCAACTGTTATGGAGATTTAAAAATAAGCTTTGGGGGTGCCTGAGTGGCTCAGTTGGCTGAGTAACTGGCTCTTGATTTCAGTTCAGGTCATGATCACAGAGTATGGGATCAAGCCCTGCATCAGGCTCTGTGCTGAGTGTGGGGCCTCCTTGGGATATTCTCTCTCTCTCTCTCTCTCTCTCTCTCTCTCTCTCTCTCTCTCCCTCTGCCCCTCTCCCCTGCTTGTGCTTGTTCTCTAAAATAAAAAAGTTTTAAAAATTATTAAAAAAAAATAAGCTTTGTAAATAAATATATGCCTAATGACATCCTTAAATGCAGCAACTGCCCTAGGGCCAACCTATAGGGACAGGAGAACCTTGAAACAATTGGAGCATAAAAAAAAATGTTTTAAGGAGAATATTAATTTTAACAAGTGTTCTGATTTGGGAAATATTTGTAGAAGAAAACCAAATCAAGCAACCATGAAAAAAATTTACCTTTCTCCACTATACAATGTGTTTTTATTCTTGCCATAATTTTCCTGATATAAAATCAGAGACTTAGAAAAATGGCATTCTATTAAATAATCAATCACAGCAGAAGTAATCACATGCAGTATTTCTAATGTAAATGATTACCTGAGAAGTCCGTCAGAAGTCTTGCTAGGACTTGCTTGTTTACCACTTCAGTCTTACTAAGGCTCGGTATAATATCTACCCTAGTAGTTTCTGTGACAATTGTGGGCTTCTTGGAAATCCCAAGATCAGATCCAGTGTTAACTTCTGTGTGTTCTAGGACATCATATGCTCTCTGAAGCCAAGAGGATTCTGGAGCACATGTGAAAGTGTGCTCGAGTGTTTCTTCAGGAGGAGATTCTACATCACCCTGTACAGAAGCTGACTTCTCAGTCCTCCTTTCACTCAATTCTTTAAGGGCTTTGATTGTGAGCTCTTCCTGCTCTAAGTCAAGAGATGCCACTGGAGTACCTCGGGCAGGGAAAACACCCAGAATCTCACTTCCATTTGTTTCTTTGCTTTGTTCCATGTGTTCGCTTCTTCGGTCTTTAATTTCAGAACCACCTGACTCACTTTCATGCAAGACTTCCACAGCAAGACTTGTTTTAAAGTCCCTAGTCTTCTCTGATGTTGCGTCAAAGGCATTCCCTTCACCTTTACCTATGATTCCTTTCTCTCTGGTTTCTGTAAAGGCTGCTATCAGGTCCTCTGGGGAAGAATCATCTACATCTTCAACATTTTTTTCATGTAATGACTCCAAAGAGGCAGAGGTTGTCACATTTAGTGAGAATTCTGTCTCATGAAGAACACCTGGAGATACAGCTGAAGGATGCTTTGGGTTCTCAGTTGCAACATGTTTTTCAGCAGCAGCTTCACTCATACTACCTGACTGCTGCACATCTTCTGACATGATCTTCAGATCACGTACTTGTGAACATGCTGCCTCACCCACTGGACTCCTTTCGGGAATATCAGGCTGAACGTGTGCTGCCTCAGGGTCACTGACTGGCCCTTCAAAGGTTTCACATGTTTTGTTTTCCCTATTGCAATTGAAAGCCTCTTCGATTTCTCTTTCATCTCTTTTTACAATAGCACTTGGAATGGAAACAGGTTTTTCAGCCTGAATTTTTTTACCTTCAAATGAAACACTGGTTGTGATGTCCTCTATTACTGTGTCATCAGACTCACCAGAACTATCAGCTTCTGTCACTTCTCCTAACACAGCGCTCTGCCAGTTCATTTCATCTTTCAGGTGGCCATCAGGTAAAACCACTTTCACGGTGGCCACTCCAGAACCCCGAGAGACACCTTTGTCAAATGGAGACCCAGGGAACTCTGCAACTGTGTTATCTTGTTTCTGCACATGGCCTCCCACACCTTTGATATTGACTTCCTTTGTGGAATTGAGACAATCCGGTACAGGTTTGTCAATGTTAGCATTTTCTTGTGGGAGGGATTCCTGTGCCCAATCACCTGCTGATTTAGTGATGGGAGTGTTCCCATTAATAGAACGTATAGGAATTTTCTGGTGAGTGTTAGTTTTAAGATTTACAACTGGGATTTCTGATTTATATTCACTCATGTCAAGTCCTGTGGTTTTTGTGACGTAGTCAGACTTACAGCTCTCTTCTTTTGCTTGGGGAACCAAATCCCAAGTCAGTATTTCATTAGTAAAGTTATGCATATCATTCACACATCTAGACACTTCTTCCAGTGCTGCAGTTGTGTGTGAAAACTGTCTAGTGAGCAATGCAGAGGTTGGGTAACGCCCTGCCTCTTTACTTCTCAGTGGAAATACTTTGTCATTAGACTCTAAAATGTCTTCAGATGTTTCTTTATCAGTGTTCATTGCCCAGCTACCAAAATCATTTGTGCTCTCCTTATATACATCTTTAAATTCTTTGTCAAATGCTTCTTTGTCAATAATTACTTCAAATGGTGACTCAGGGGAATCCTTTTCAACACCACCTCCTGAAACTTCAGATGGGGACAAGGAATATTTACAAATGCCTTCTGCCTTAGACTGCTGGGTCAGTGGTTTCTGAGCTGTCAGCAAAGTGAACTTGTCATCAGCATCCAATTCAGTTTTACCGCCTGTACTTGGTACCTCATTTGGGTTCTTGGACTCTTGATCTTTATTTATTTGCTGTTCCAGTAGACTCATTTCCTTTGAGAGAAAAGCAGGACGATCTGGGAAATTGGCCGGAATGAAAGGACGGTTACACTGAACTCCTTCTGCCACAGAATCTGGGGAGTGTGCTAGGTCTTTACTGGTCTCTTGAGGCTTTTCCATCTTTTTCACATCTAGGAGAGCCAAGGAGTCTTTTCCTTCTTTGGCTAAAATAGGCTGACTGCCTGACACTTTGCTTTTTTCTCCGTGTAGTATTGTAAGGTCATTGTTATGCATTTCAGAAGATGAAAAAGAGGAAGTCATAATTTCTGAAGGTGGCTCACCAGAGCAAAGAGAGCTCAATCCCTCTATGGTCAGAATTTGAAAGAAAAAAGTTTGTTTACCAGGCACAATTACACATTAACTACTCAGGCCAAGCAGCATGCTTTTCATTTCTCAAGTTACATATATATACACACAGGATGTATATATACATATACACATACACGCACACAACACACGTAAATATGTAACAAAACAAGGACCAACAGTAATCCTATAAAACATGCATAAGATTGCCAACAGTCAAACAGAAAAGCTGTATCATGCTACAAATTGCAAATGACAAAATTTCATGACATATTTTTCAGTCTACTTTTTCCATTGTAAACGTAAAGCATAAAGAAGTATAAAAAGATTGGAAAGTCTGGGAAGGTTCCTTCCTTTGTTTTTTTGGTAGAGCTACTCAATGTAATCCATATAAAACAACTCACTATTATGAAGCACTGATATGCTCTCATCTGTAAGCTGCATATTTCAGTACACACAGCTTCTACAAATCCACTGTTACAGTCCAACAATTTGAGATGGAAAAAAAAAAGCGACTACAGTTCTTTTGATTCTCAGGAGACATAGCAGATTCCTCCCAGGTCTAAGAATCAGACTAGAGTTATTGTATTCTATCCTAGGGAAGATTGGTCTCAGGTACAGATGGCTTCCTTAAAAAAAAAATTTTTTTTTAATGTTTATTTACTGTTGAGAGAGAGACCGAGAGAGACAGAGAGAGAGAGAGGGAGAACGTGAGCAGGGGAGGGACAGAGAGAGGGAGACTACAGAATCTGAAGCAGGCTCTAGGTTCTGAGCTATCAGCACACAGCCCTATGCGGGACTCAAACTCACAAACTGTGATCGTGACCTGAGCCTAAGTTGGACAATTAACTGACTGAGCACCCAAGAGCCCCAGATGGCCTCATTCATTTTAAACTAAAGAGTATGAAAAGGATGGCTGACTTCAAAATCTCTTGCCAATTTAACCAACACTGAACTGTGTGAATCAGTGAGGTTTGTCTTTTGGTTAGGAAGAATTAATTCCAGAAATCCTTTTAAAACAGAAAATATCCTTCTGAAAGTAATACATTAAGTCTTATCAGTTCTTAATACCACAGTAGCCAGTGATTTATCACATTGTTTTCCAACTTTCCAATCTAGCAAGTTTTTACTTGAGAAAAGATCAAAACAACCCTCCCAAGGGCAGGTGCTGTCTTTCGTGCATGTTGTTACCTCTGCAGCTGGAACAAAAGTAGGTCTTAAATAAATAGTTCCAAATGAGTGAATCAAAGATTCAGTTTGGTCAGATGAGAGCTAAGCAGGTCCAGGACAGCAACACCTTGAGTGTGAATGAGTAATTGTGAAGATGTGAAAAAGAAAAACCTTTGGGATTACTTTTATTCAGCTTGTATTTTTTTTTTTTCATGTGAGGAGCTGAATACTTGACGAAAGCAAAATTGTAACTTTATTCAAAATATAAGATTGAAAAGAAAATTAAATATCTTACTACAATAAATAAAATTCCACTATTATAAAAATGTTTCCAAATGCCAGATGAGAATCTGGGTATTAAGGAAAAAGTCTTTGTAAACTGAGGAATAATAAAGTTTGGTGGTACAGACTGTACTAGTGAGAGAGAAAATATTTGAAGCAAGGTGAATGCACATTTACTTCTAATGTAGTAGACAGAGATGGTTTGCATCTATCATTATATACTATGATATAATATTATAGAGTACTCAACAAGACCAAATTAAGGGAACAATATAAATGAAGCTCAGCATTATAGATTAAAAGGTTCAAAACCTGGGACCTCTGGGTGACTCAGTTGAGCATCTGACTTTGGCTCAGGTCATGATCTCACAGTTGGTTGAGTTCAAGCCCCGTGTTGGGCTCGCTGCTGTCAGCACAGAGCCTGCTTTGGATCCTCTTTCCTCTGCCCCCCGCCCCTCCCTGATCACTCTCTCTCAAAAAATTAACATTAAAAAAAAAAGGTTCAAAACCCTGTAATTTAAAGAACTACATTTTTAGTAGTTAATTTATAGGCTACACTTAAATCAGAAACATTCCATGATCTGAGCTATGTATTGTTATTGAACTTACTGGTTACTGTTTCTATCAGTTCAATGCTCAATGGATTAAATCTGGATTAGGTAAAACTGTTTGGGAACCCCTCCCTTCAAACATGAGTGGAACTTTGACATGATCAAAACTGAATCCACTTTACAGGGAATGCTCAGCTTACATGATTTATAGAGACTGCACTATCAGATTACTCAGACCAACCATCTTATAGACAAAAATGGACAAAAAGAATTAGTAATAATTCCATAAATATTTACTAAGTACCTATCATGTGCCAGACACTGCTTTAACTAGACTAAGAGGCTCCTGGGTGGTTCTGTCAGTTAAGTGTCTGGCTCTTGATGTCAGCTCAGGTCATGATCTCACAGTTCCTAGGATTGAGCCCTGTGTCGTATATAGTGGCTCCGATAGCTTGGAGTCTGCTTGGGATTCTCTCTCCCTCTCCCCCGCTCATGCACGTGCTCTCTCTCAAAAGAAACAAACATTAAAGCAAAAGAGAAAGAAAGAAAGAAAGAAAGAAAGAAAGAAAGAAAGAAAGAAAGAAAGAAAGAAAGAAACTGGATTAAAAGCAGTGAACAAAACAAAAAAATCCTTGCCTTTGTGGTGCTCACAGCACAGAGTGGGAGATAGACAGTAAGCAAAATCAACAAGTAAAATGATGATGTGGTGGTAGTGGGCTTGAAGAAATGAAAAAGAAAGCAACCTACACTGATTGGTAATCAGAGAATGTGCACATTAGTGGGAAAAAGCATGTTGGAACTGTTCTAACATGCTTTGTCAGGACACACACTTGTCAGTTTTCCAAGCCTTGTTTATCTTCTTTGAACTCTTAATATTCTAAAAGTTTCAAGTTAAATATACAATAATCTGAGGTGAAGCTAGATTACGTTAGAAATCGTTCTCAGAATACCAGCAAGTCCTGCAATAAATAAACTTCCAATATTCTTTAATTAAGACTCATATGACATCACTCTTATGCACAGAAAAATAACTTTAGTTGTGTTCCTAGTAATTCTGTGACTTAATATATGGGGTGGAGAGTGCTTTCTGGGAGGTTAGCCTTGGGGGGGCAAAGAGAAAGAGCTCAATGCTGCAGTAATCGCGCAGAGGCTGTGACACAGGCGCTAGCTCTCGGCATCAGCAATCAGGCTTTCCCACACGTAGCAAAGTAAGTTAGACCCTCACCTGTGCTTTAATTATCATGTTTAGAATTTCAGCAAATGAAAAGAAGTTTTTTGGCTAGTTGAAACCCTAACAAACTTGGACACAGCTGACTTGTACCAAGACAATGGAAAAAACTGGGCTGGAAGTAAAGAGTTTATAAAGGCATGAAAAAATTAAACAGAATGAAGACCAGCATCTACTAAGCCTTTTTTTAGAACAGCTCCCATAAGCAAGGACTCTTCCAATTAGTAAGTATGGCACTTAATAGTCACTGGTGTTGTCCAAGCCTGCAAAACAGCAGGAAACGCCAGGGAGTTTGAAGTTTGTTAGTTTTTAAAATACTATATACTATAAAACTGCCGGATAGAATAACTTGGGATCCTCTTACATTTCAGGAAATGTCCACTCCCTTTCCTTTTTCAGAAGATCCAACCCTTCACGTGTATTACAAGACTTACAACATTACTCAAAACCACTGTCTGTCAAAAAAAATTTCCTCATTGTGAATATTTGCTCATTTATTTTCTATTATAGGATTTAACGTGCATATTCATTTTCAAGAGTTCTAATTAGTTAAAAATAAGGGGTTATTAACAAAGGGGTTATACACTTAACAGCTTTGTTAAAAAGGGAATTATGTATGTTAAGTGAAAAATATCATAAGCCCATGATGATCATGAGAATGTTCCCAAACTTATCCAGTACTGAGTTCTTTGCTTACCCATATCTTCTTAAGCTCTAAATATTTAGAGGTCTCCATTTAAGTGTATTACCTGAAAAAGACTAGGAAATTAAGTTGGCAGTCATAGTCTAAATTTCTAGACCTCTCCCAGACCACAAATTCCTATTAAAAGATGCAAAATCATTTTATCACATTTACTAATCGCATGGTCTTGGCAAGTTGCTTACTCTCATCTAAAAAAATGGGGATACTAAAGCACCTAACTTGAGAACTGCTATGAAGGTTCAATGAGTTAATATGTGAGAAGAGCTTAGAACACATCCGGCACTTAATAAACCCTCGGTAAACATCCCCTAACACCTCCACATTCTCGGAAAAAATTCTCCTGACATAGAGACTCCACATCATATGCCTTTTTGATAGGGGAGAGTATGTAACACAGAGAAAACTCAGAGTTTTAGACACTTTCCCTCCTACCATTCTCAAATAAAAGGAAGTAATTACTAAGGAGCTTTGATCTATTTCAAAAATCTGAGTGAGGCAACTTCTCAATCAGTTATTACTCAACAAATGCCTGCGGCATTCCAAGAATCATGCTAGGTTCTGTGTAGGTAAAGACATTTAAGACAGCCCAATACAGAAAAAATTTGAAGCCAATGTTGAAAGAAAACAGAACTTTTCCCATTTTACCACCATCAAGGTCAAAGTATATTTTAGTTCAATGTGCAACTAGCTGAACAGTACAACAACCTGGCCCAAAACCACGGTTTGACACCATCTTTGGCAATCGCTTTCAAATTTTAGAACTGCTAGTACTTCATGTGTGATCTCTGACTTACTGACTCAGCATTTCCTGAGATGGATACAATCTGCATTACAAGTGTCCTAGGTAATGAACCTGGTTGGAGACCCACGACCTGCCTGCACTTTACAACTCCCATCCTGTAAAAATCCCACAGGAGATGAGCCTGACACTTCTCTCTCACTCTTGCCCCTGGATGGTCCTCGTCCAGAAGCACAGCTTACACGTCAGTGGGGGCAAGGGTGGTCCTTTGTGCCTGCTTTAAATGCTTCTACCTACTAATTTCAAAGTATAGGAATTCGAAATTT